CAATGACCTTCTTGACGATTTTCATGTCAATATCATTACAATCAGTGGATGTTTTATATTTACACATGTGTACAATGTCAATTATTTCTTTTTCCTCCACTGATGTGAGGAACATTGAGTTAGGGTTCCTATCAATCAGGTTTTCACTACATTCTACTGATGGCAGTGACTCAGGAATTTGTTCTGCCAGTTTTGGTCCAATATTTACAAAATAATGATTAAAGCTGTTGACCTTATCAGCAGTGTTTTCCATAATATTGCCATTATCGATAAAGTATTGTGGATAACTTTGTTGTCCAGAATTATTTTTAATGATACCGTTTAAAACATCCCATATTCCTTTCATATTATGTTTATTGTTGTTCAATATTTTACTATAATACTCCTTTCTACATACACGTATAATATTGGTCAACTTATTTTTGTATTTTTTATATTTATTTTCAGCTTCTTTTGTTCTTTGTTTTAGGTATTCCCTATAGAGTGTATTTTTCTTTTTACATGCATTTTGTAAACCCTTAGTGAGCCATGGTCTATCTGAATATTTGTGCTTTCTGTTGTATTTTATTGTTGGACAGTTTTTATCGTACAACTCCATGAATATTCTTAAAATATGCCATATGCAATATCAATATCAGCTTCTTTGTACACCTTGTCCCAGTCCTGATTTAATAGATCGTTCTTAAATGCAGTCATCGTTTCTTCCGTCCTTACACGTCTGTATCTCAGTTGTTCTTCATGCTGATTTTTCTTATAATTAGTGTCATAAACTGCAAAAACTGGTAGGTGATCACTGATGTCATTAATTAATATTCCGCTCACAATGTTGTTTTCCATATTGTTAGTGAAAATATTGTCAAGTAAGGTGGCACAATGTGGTGTAATTCTGCTAGGCCTGGTTATTTTAGGATGTAAACTCAAACTGTACATAGTGTTTAGGAATTCGTCGGTCATTTTATGCTTTTTTGGATTCAACAGGTCAATATTAAAATCACCACAGATAAACATAACTTTTTGATTTGTTTTAGAGAATATTTCCTCTATGAAGTCATTAAATACTTGAATACTAGAGCCAGGTGTTCTATATATACAGCTAATTATTACATTTTTTTCTTTTTCCTTATAAATTTCAATTGTTATACATTCTAGTAAATTATCAATTACAGTTGTCATACTTTCTACCACCTTGTAGTTTAGGTTTTTATCCACATACACAGCTACTCCCCCTCCACTCTTGTTCCTTCTATTTACAAAATTCACTTCATATCCCTCCAGTCCAAAGTCCATTCCTTTCTCCGCATTGATCCATGTTTCAGAAATGGCAATAATTCCAAATGGATTTGTCAACTCATTTAGATATTCCTTTATATTGTTGAAGTTGGCATACAGACTTCTGCTATTAAAATGGATTATTGATAATTTATTTTCCGTGTTGATGGTGTGCTTAAACTGTTCATCAATGAAGTAGCAGCAGTTACAGCTGATGTTGTAGAAGAAATTATTTTCTGGGTCTATATCCTTTTCTAAGTCTAGAACATTATGGTCTGTGTATCGAAATGTTCTCAGTTCCAGATTATCATAAAGAGAATTCCAATGAGTCATATTGATATTGTTGCCGGATGCAGATGAAGTTCTTTTGGACTGTGCCATGTGTTGTGTTGTGTGTCACGTCACATGTGTATTCATACCTCCAGAGTAAGTTGACCTCAGTATTTGTCCAGCTCTTCCATATTTCTGATGACCAACACTTTGGCTTGTTCCGGTGTTCCATTGAGTTTAATGAATACTTTGCAGTTGGTGGTCCATGTATTTTGAATTTTTCCCTGTTTCTTCAAGTAACGTGCTTTCCTGGCAATGTCCGCATTTCTTTTTATCAGATGTTCGTTCATGAAGACATCGGATCCTTTCAGTTTCCTTCCTTGTTTTAACAGTGCTGTTTTCTGTTTTCTGTTTGCAAATCTCACAATGATGGCTGGTTTGTTACTGTCATTTTTTCGGGGTAGAGGGTGGCAAGCCTCAATGTTGTTATAATCCACTTCCACACCTTTGGACCGTAGAAAGGTAACCACTTGATGCTCCGTGGAGTTGACATCTTCCTCTCCTGGCCCTCCTACATTGTCAGTGGCGACCGCCCGGGCGTATGACCGGGGTTTGATGCGAAGCCCCGTGATGATAACATCGTTCATCCGGGTGTACTGCTCCAAATCCGCCACTCTGTTCTCCAGGTACGCCAGCCGCCGATCCTTCTCGGCGTTCTAGATGCGGAGAGCCTTAACTTCCTCGACCAGGTCCAGGATGGCTTTCTGCTGCAGTTTGACAGTAGAAATCTCCTCTGTCATAAACTCCAGCGACTTCTTAATATCGTCTCCTTCCTCGGCTGACAGAACTTTTTTCGGGCCCATGCTGAGAGACGCTCTCGTAGCTTTGCCGTGACGACCGGCTAGCTACTTCCCAGAATCCTTTTGAAACCTTGGATCAGGACATGATCAGTTGTGGCAGCAGAAACCTCTCGTCCTCGCATGACGGACCGCAGAGAAAGCACATGAAAATAAGACAGAAATATTTATTTACTTTCTAGTAAACTGTTTATACAAGTTAGTGTTATTATTATTGTCTTAAACATTTTTTATACATCTGTATAAATTGCCGTTGCTTTAGCTGATGTTTGAATTTTGAATCTAAGGGAAGTAGAGTACGCTCATTCTTGTGTGTTACTTAATGTGAGTGAGTGGGCCATGAAAATGTGGCGTTATTAAATATTTTTAATTGTCATTTAACATTTAAAATACAAAAGAAAAATGAATGCAACAATGTTGTGGGTTGTTTTATTGAACTTGGTGATATCAAAACAAACAATCTTTGTTTTACAAATCTTGTTAATATTTTGTGTATATTTGTGTGCTTAGGCATTACGGAGGAGAACCTCAACAAGCTGATCCAGCATGCTCAGATTCCCCCCGAGGACAGTGAGATCATCACCAACATGGGTCACCTGGGCGTCCCCATCATCACAGATGTGAGTGTCTCCTTATTATCAGCTTACTCATCCTTTCCTAATTCCTTATAAACTAAACTTTGAATACTTTCCTTAAATTAATTTTTAAGTAATTGTATTGTAGTTTTTGCCTTTTAATATTAACGCCAATAGAATGTAATGGAAATTTGCTTATATTATGTAATCTGTCACAGCACAAGTCTTCCCATCAGAGAAGCTGTCTGTGTCGTTTCACTTTAAAGCACAAACTGTGTGATGTTTTTCATTTGGACAGTCTGACCCTTGGACAAAAAAGCCTAAGATGCTGGAAGTCAAACTACTTCACACTTCATAGATGTTGGGTGAAATAAAGCAGGCTAACAAAGAATTGTGAAAATATTGTATTTAGGCTTTTCTTTATTTACATTAAATTGTTAATTTGGTTACTTATATAACTGGTGGGTGATTGTGTATCATTGTATCTGTATCACTGACCCTTAACCAACACAGAAATCACAACGTGACACATTTTGGGGACATCTCAAATGCAATTTCTTATGTTGTCACGTTTTGAATCCAGGTTATTTCCACTGTACTGCAGCACTGTTTGATGGGGCTTCAGGCGGTACACTTTTCAATAGGTGTTTGACAACATCAGGGTTGCTCCTTATCTTCAAACCTGTTTTTGATTTTCATGGAGGAGCTCTCAAGGTGTCGTCAGTCGTTTGGGAGTGGGGGGCTACCTCCAGGAAGGGAATTCAAGTATCATGGGCTTTTATGCAGGAATGACGGGAAGGTGGAATGTGAGTTGGTGCTGTGTCAGCAGTAATGGGGCTTGCAGTGACCTGCTGTGTTGAGAGATCCAACCCTCAGCTGTGGTCATGAAGTATGGGTAATGATTGAAAGAGTAAGATTGTGGATTGAGTTTCCTCCACTGGGTGACTGAGATAAGCCCAGCTGAGAAGCTCAGACCTCAGGAGGGATTGTGGAGCAGAGGCTGTGCTCTGTGCCACATGTGTGTTCCAAGAAACTGGTTGAGGTGGTTTGGGCCTGGTTAGGATGCCTCCTGGGCGTCTCCCTGTGGAGGTTTGGTGGGCACGCTCAACTGACAGACCCAGAACACACTGGAAAAATATATATCTTGTTTGTCCTCTGAATGCCTTGAGATCCCCTAGGAGGAACTGGAAAGTGTGGCTCGGGAGAAGGTTGTCTGGAATAGCCTGGTTAGTCTGCTGCTGCTGCATGTGTTGCTTATTGCTTAAAGGGGCTATAATGCTGTCACTACTTTATGTCAGATAAATGCTACCTAAAGTGTGAATGCTCATAATAAACGTAGCTAAAGTTTTAATGAGATCGACATATGTACAAGGAATCGCTCATAGCTGAGGCTTCAGACTGCTTTAAACACTCAGTTTCATACAGTTCTTCCACCTCTGGCTGTTCAGCAGATGAGAGCAGATATTCCTAATATGGTCAGCTCAAGCACAAAGTTTTGATTGTGAGCACAGAAGCCTCACCAACCTGCTATTTAAGCTCTGTTTCTGTGGGGGTAGCCAATCAGATGAAAGCTGTCTTTAAATGTAGACATTTTAAGATAAGTGCAGATTATTCTGACCTGTGACTCATGCAAAGCTACTCTAATACAATCCAAGAATAAAGCTACTAGTTACCTATTCGTTACTCTGAATGTATGAACGCATTTGGAGATCTGTTCACATCAGCTCTGAGAGAAAGTGAAAGATGACTAGCATGTAGCATCAGGACATTAAGCTTTCGTTATCTAACGTCTAGCAGATCAGTTTGTGCTGTTTTTAATGAGTGCTCAAGGAAAGCGTCTTTTATTTCCACTTCCTCATCTATTCTTTCTTTTCTCAGTCCACCCTCCGCAGAGGGAAAAAGGTCGACAGGAAGGAGCGTGTGAGCGAGCAGACCTATCAGCTGTCCCGCTGGACACCACTGATCAAGGACATCATGGAGGTGTGTTTCTAGGCATTTTATTTTATTATGTGTTAAGAAAACTAAAGAGCTTTATATAACCTGCTGTCTGGCAGATGCATTGAAGTGTCTTAGTATTTTAGTTTCAAAAACATCTCAACTATAGATGCAGTCATTACTAAATTATGTATTAAAAAGTAGCTGTTACATACTTTTCACTTCTCATACATCCACAACAGTCTCAGTCAAACACCTAGTTGTCATCTACTATATTCAGGGGTGCACATAAATGGTCCGCAGGTGCGCGTTCGCTGTCAAAATAAAAGACGCGCACCAGATAAGAAGTTGCAATGCGCGTTTGCGTACATATAAACGGCACTGTTTTTGTCCACTCGAGTGGGATTTTCACGGCATATTCTGCACCACATCTCTGTGCGTTCATCATTTGTTTGAACCCAGCTCACCTCCTGGAACCACTTTTCCGAGAGTACGCGCTTCTTTTGCGGTTCGGACTCCTTCTGACACTTCTGTGGAGGTGGAGGAACACCAAAGTAATTGCTTAAAGGAGCTTCTTCAACATCTTTAAGAGTTCTAAACAAATGTCTGTCCTCCTCAGAAAATCTTATGTACGCAACCGCGCATTGCAACTTCTTATCTGGTGCGCGGCTTTTATTTTGACACACCTGCGGACCACTTATGTGCACCCCTGAATATATTAAGCCCCTTTATTTGTGCAAAGCTAATTCTGCAGTGGACCTCTGCAGTGGAAGTTGCTAAGAGATGTGAATTTGCCTATTTCAAGTGTGTACATGTACGTGTGAGAGACAGAGACAATATTGCTAACAAGGATATGTTTTATCTTTGTTCTCTTGCAGGATGCTATTGACGATAAACTGGACACCAAGCACTATCCTTACATCTCTACCCGCTCCTCTGCCTCCTTCAGCACCACTGCAGTCAGGTACATACACACACACAAATGTATTTTCAAACAACATAGCATCTCATTTCATGGTTGTAGCATTTTCAAATTATGAAGAGAGAAATGGAGGTGTTGTATCAGAAGATGAGTCTGATGGGACTGAAAAGAAACAAGAACAGGGATGTGCTGCTGCTGCTTTACCTTAATATGGAGAAACAACCATTTCTTGCAGTTACTTCCTGATTATGTTATTTCACTGCCTTGGATTTGTAGAAAATGGTATAAATTCAGCAATACCTCCTTATACTCTGGTCCAGTCTGTGTGGATGCTGCTTATCCTGTCACGGTCCGGGGCAGCGGCCGTGTGAAGAGTGGAAAGGAGGACTCAGATGCAGCACTTACTCAGATGTGAAGGTGATTTATTGACAATACTGAACATAAAGTGGAGATGGCAAAACAGAACTAAGGACGAACTAAACTGGGAGAAACTACACAAAGGGAGTGGCAAACCTGAACATGAAGGGAGAACAGCAGGGAGAGCACGCAGGGGATTCACCGGGTATGAACACAGACGACGCGACGAGGAGCAGAGGAAATCACACACTATAAGTACACAAAGAGACACTGGGAAATCACACACAGGTGGGAGACACAGCTGGACCTGATTAACCTGATGAGACAGGGGAACACTAACACCAGGGACCAACAAAGGGAGCACAAACCCAGAACCCAGTGTCTAAAATCCCAAACACAAACCATCCCAAAACAGCCATGAATAATAATGAAAGTAATAACAATAAAGAACATAAACATAAAGTCACTGAGTCATGGTCACAGGACCATGACATATCCTGCATGCTCTCTTGCCTCTTTTACTGTCCCTCCCCCACAGCTGCACACACACCCAGCATCAAGTACCTTGTTGTGGGTACTATCAGATAACAGCTGTTACGTTCAGAAAGTATTTGCAGGTGAAATTTTACTTCATCTTGCTTATTTGGTTTTTGCTCTGAACATAAATTGCCTATGTGTGATGTGATGCAGGTACAAACCGAGCCACCTGTCTGCAGCTCATTCCCTTCCTTCGCTCTAAAACCTCAACTCTTGTTTTTCTTATTCTAGCTAGTAATATTATCCTCTCACGGTGTTCTTCTTAGTCTGGTTAGGTTCCTGCCTGCTGTGGAAAATCTCTAAAATTTCACTGTATTGCACGAGGTGGAGAGCGACTGGGACACTGGAGGGCAAAACGGTACTGTGGTCCTTTGCCCTTCAGCCATCCTTCGAATGTCTTCGAGTTTAAATTGGCCAAAATGCCAAATAGTTCCTGAGCTATCTGATGCACTAATCAGCGTTTATTTACGGCCGCCAGAGGCGTGTAGATTATGGCACCAACATGTGAACACATTCCTAACACTCTCCTAACGCTGAATTACAGGCCACCAACTCCTGCTTATCCAAATCAACCCTAACTAATGCTAGTAATACTACCAGAACTTTTCTGGTCCTACATTGTAAAAGTCCAGTGCTTATCTTTTCTTTAACTATGAATAACTTCTTATTCTTCACCTCCCTCACAGCAGAAGTATTTACCTATCCTGATTTGAAATACAAATACTTTCTGTAAACATTAAGCCCACAGGGGAGGAAGGACAGTATTAAATTCATTTTTGATATAAATGAAAATAATATTTCCAGAAAGCTAATATCTAGGATTTACCTAATCTTATAATTGAAGAGAAGTCTCGTCCAATGTGTGTTAAATCAAGCTGGGAGAAAGGAGCAAACATAGAGCTATCAGAAGAGGTCTGGATAAAGACACGAAGAGCACACCAAGTTTTTTTTGTCCAAAAGAATAAAATGGAGTAAAATACCTGAAAATGGGCAGTGTTGGCGAATGTGTGGTAATATATGTGCAGATCGTGTTCATATTTTCTGGGATTTTTTCTTACTAGTTGGATGTGGTAGCAGAGATAAAGACATATTTGTATTATTTATTAGCAGAATGTTCCACTTGACCTCAAAAAACAAGACAGATACTTGTTCATATGATTAAGTGCAAGTAAGAAAGCAGTAACTAAGACGTGGTTAAATAAAGAATCTTCAACAACCCCTGAGAGGATAAAAATAGTTCATGAAATCTGTGAAATGGAACAGTTGACCTTTTTCTCTGACACGTGTGAGTGTAAGGTTTGAAAAGTACTGGGGAAAATGGATAAACTACCAGTCTGTGGATGAAACTTTGGATTCCCCTGCTTCCTGGAGAGCTATATCTATGGATTAGACTCATGAAGACCTTCTGAGTATTAAAAAAGAAAGGAGCAGGATTAAATAAACATGGTGGACAAAAATGAACTGCTCCCCCTTTGCATAAGGATGGGATCCACTCAGTTATGCTTTCTGTTGTTATCTTTACTATGGGATTAATACTTAAAAGTGACTGATGGCCTTGTCCTTTTGCTGTGTGAATAATTTCTTGTCTTTTTTTTCTCTTTTTGTACATTTTCACAAAAATAAAGTAACAAAAGAATGTATTAATACTGTACTTTCATTGTTGTGTTGTTGTTTTCCGGCAGTGCTCGGTACGGCCACTGGCACAAGAACAAGACACCCGGAGAGTACCGCACTGGGCCACGTGTCATGGTATTCATTATCGGCGGCGTGTCTTTCAGCGAAATGCGCTGCGCCTATGAGGTCACACAGGCCAATGGGAAGTGGGAAGCCATCATTGGTGAGTAGTGTTGCAGAGGGTAGTGTAGGCTGCTGGGGTGGGTAGTTAGAGACACATCCATCGCCTTGAAAACAAAGTGGGTGTGACTCTGAGTGGGCATGTTTTCACGAGAGGTGGGAAAAGCTGCGTCCTAATTCAGATTAAAGAGAGGCTGAAGATTCAGTGCGTGGTCTTTGATGGGCACAGATGACTTGTGACCTGGGACGTGGCTAAAAAACATTAAAGATGGGCAGGCGGAGAAACAAAGTCTGGAGTATAGAGGGAAATCTGACTGGAATAGACTAATAAACGTAGTTTTCTGAAACATTAAATGCGGTTTCATATTTTGGGCTTCATTTCAGTATTTTTACTTTTTTCAGCCTGTGGAAACAAAATGGAAATTTAGAAATATAGGCTCAAGTTTTATAAACGCAGCAGACCTCATTTCATCACACACATACAGGGCGGCATACATCCCACGTCACACATTGCTGTCACAGAAATTTCCCATCGACAGGTTTACACTGCAGCAGCTTTTTTTGCAGGATGCAATTACAGATAGCAGGTAGATTATTGTGTGCAGCATTTTGTGTTAAAGTAGCCCCTTTGTGTCATGTTCCTGTGTACTGTTTATTTGATGTCCTGAAGCTTTGCCAGCCAGTCTGTGTTATATTGTTATGTTAACTGAAAGTGTCTTTTGTTGTGCTCTGCTTCTGCTGTTGTCTTTAAAAACAACTGTTGTCTTTAAATTGCAGCCACGCCATGTCTTTCTCTGTGTCTGTGTTCCCAGTTTATTTGTGTTTGTGCTACTTGGTGTGTGTGTGTGTGTGTGTGTGTGTGTGTGTGTGTGTGTGTGTGTGTGTGTGTGTGTGTGTGTGTGTGTGTGTGTGTGTGTGTGCTCTGTATGACAGGTTGCTTGTTTTTTGATCCTTTTGTTTTCTGGAGAGAGCGAGTGAAGGAAGGGCAGGGGCATGGCATGTGCTGTGAGACGAGTGGTGAAGCCACTTCTGTTCCTCCACAGGTGCCACCCACATGCTCACCCCCACCAAATTCTTAAAGGACCTGCAGCATCCCGACTTCCGAGAGTCCACTAGGGTGTCCTTTGAGGACCCTGAGCCCTCAGCCGAGTGAGGCAGAGACAGATTGGGAGGGAGGGAGAGAGAAATCACACAGAAAAAAGTAAAGGCAGCCGTGCAAAGAAGCCCTTTCTGAACCTTCACAGCACAAGGGCTTTCTTCCTTGTTCCTTCTTCTTTGAACACTCAGTACTGTTTTATGTAACTCCACCCTCCTCCTCCCCACTTCCTCAGGGATGGATGCCCCCGACATTTCCTCACTGCATGGACTGCTCCATCAGACTCCCTATGTATCAGTAACTCAACCGCGACTCCGTCATGTGTTTCAGACTGAAACCATAACTCCAAACAGGTGTATTCTCGCAAAGTCTCTCAGCTTATCCACAAATCCAGTGCAATAAACATTTAACATTTCAACTACTTAAATTAACTCTAAGATTTGTTGGAGCAGTCTTAGCTCACATCCTCACAACGCTGGTGTGATGATGGCATGCGTATCACACTTCCTGTATCCTGAACTCTGTGCTGATCAGCGGCCATGCCTGAGGAGGTCGTGAACCCATCCCTGCTGCCTCCTCCCATCATCTCTGCAGGGTGGATTAAATCGCCCCGTGATGGGCACCCAAAGGCCCTTTGATCTTGTTTAAAACTCACTCCAGATTTAATCTGCCCCAACATCTTTATCAGTTCCTCTGATTTATTTTTATAATTTGCCCTTTACATACACCAAACAAACACCTTTTTTTGTTACTGGTTTCTTTCCGGATTGGTCCTTGAGTTGATGTTGGGTTTCAGAGACACACTTTATCATTTCTTTTCTGGGTTTTTTTTTTGTGTGTGTGTTTTTGTTTTTTAATCCTTGTGTATTTTTTTTCTTTGTTTTGACCGCCTGACTTTGTCCACTCAGCTCACCATCACATGCTCACATGGCTCATGACCTGTCTGCAGAGGATGCTGGACTTTAAGCGAATGTTGTCATGATGATGGAGATCTGCTGACAAGCAGGGCAGCTGGGTGACAGAGGAAACCAAGCAACCAAAAATAAGTTCATATGCATTCATATGAATATTTGCCTTCTGTATTACCGTCACAACTCCTCTGTGCGGACAGTCTGAGAATGTAGCATTGTTCCACCTGATATGCTTTAGCAACCCACCTAAAAAAAGAGAGAGATCCCAAAAAAACACCTCCTAACATAGGGCACTATCCACATCTTCAAAATACTCATCTTCTGTCTTAGTATTCAGCACATCACCTTGTTTATGTGAGCACATATATATTAATAACTGATAATGCTTTCAAAGCAGCTCCTTTCAGACAACATCATACCTGGACACACACACTGATGGATAAATTAGTGAGTTTAAAGTCTTTGCTTTTGAGTCTGCTCTTTTCAGCAATCAACAGAAATCCTGTTACCTACATGTGTGGAGAACCAAACAATGAATTAAAGATTTAAAAAAAAAAAGTTTAGCTGCATAAAATTAGCCAAAAGCTCAGGTGTATTTAATAAAGATTAAATACCATACCTAATTTCAATTTGGTGAGTCTACCCTTCAGGGTGGTCTCCTCGAGCAGTGTTACAGTATTTCCTACTCCGCTGTTGATATTGGTCGGAGATAGTTCCATTCTGTCTTTTATTTGGTGCATCGGGATATTTTCCAGTGTGTTAATACAGTAATGTGAAAAAAGAAAGTTCACCGGACTCTATGCACAGTGCAATGTTTGGCATACTGACACAACCACCTCATTCCAATTATCAAGCACAGTGGTGGAGGAGTGATGATTTTGGCTTGTTTTGCAGCTGCAGGTCCACTCAGGTACTCAGTCAGTATCTTCAAACTCTTTCCAGTCAGTTTCAGTTGTTATTAAATCTAATCTGCAGTAACTGTGGCTCTTCTGTGATTGATCAAGAGATCCATTGTCATTGAACTAGATAACCTAGCCTTGGTTGACATAACCATCAGAAGGCAGAGGCAGCTGCCAACCTCGTCTCCTGCACACCATCCTTGTACACCATAAAGGGTGTTCCCAGTGGCATCGATTTTGTTACATTAGATAACGATTCCTCCCGTCTACCTTCCAAGCTCAGCCATCACTATTTAGTGCATCTGCCAGGCCCAGGAGTCACTGCCTATTCTCTAATTGCAACCTCTGGCCAAGCTAGTGTTATTAGCAGTGGACTTCCATCATTTGTTTGGGAACTTACGAGTGAACTGAAAGTAATTTATGTGAATTTTTCCAGCTGGACCACACCCCTTCCAGTCATACTTCTATAAATACCTTCCTGCACCACAAACCCATTTGTATTTGGGGTTGTTGTCTGGGGTCCTGGACTTTACTTTAGCACTGTGACATGAATGTTGTAAAGAGTGGTCCAAAATGTTTCCACAGTGATATGAGAGACTGATGAAGTCATACAGAAAATTATTACTTCAAGTTATTGCTGCTAAATCATGAGCTGCTCCTAACAACACCACATAGAGTCTGGTAAACGGTTTCTCTTTCACATAACTGTATCTTAACCCTCCAGTTTAAATTTGTGTAATGAAATTGCAACTGGTCAGATGGGACTCAGATGGGATATGAAATGGGACCGGTGCTGAAAGCGATCAAAAGGTACACGAGGAGATGACCTTGAAGTGCACACTGACCAAACTTAAACCAGGTGTGGCTTCTGGTATTCATATGGGTGGAGTCCTGACCTTTTTCATTATACTTTTAAGTGAAACCAGGGCTGTTGAGAGAAGATGATGCTCGATTTGCTTTGAACAAAGGGTTAAAAAAGAAAACATTTTATGCTTTAACGAGCTTTTAATAAAAAGACTACATCCCTTAGTGATCACCAAAAAACATGGCTCCATAATGCTTTTCTATTAATATCTTTGACTGGTTATTTCATGATTATTAATTAGTAAAAAGCTAATATATAATGCAGTTTTTTATTAGACTAGAATGTTGAACATCCATCTCATGACTAATCTGCTAAAGCAATATCATTTACAAACCAAGCTTTTTTTAAGGTTTTCTCAGTAAGCTCTCACAGCTCTCACCATAAACGGTATGAAGCCTCCCTCCCCACATGCTGCTGCATTCAAAGCTTCCTGAGCAAAAATGGCCATTACTTCCTAAAACAAGTCTTTTTGTTTTACTGTGCTATTATATGCCAGTAATTTTTGGTGTTGGAGCGTAACATCACAGTGTTGTTTCTGGGGCTAAAAATGGCCCACCAAGCTGTGTGTTTTGGGAACAGCAGAGAAGCAGGCGAAGCCAATTCGACATTCTAGCCTGACCCCAACTTTAACCCACTCACCCCCTTGAACCCCCACTTACGATCTCTGATTCCTGCAACCACCGCATCACCTTAACCCAATATGAAATGGACTTGCCTCTTTCTCTTCTGTTTATTTGGGGGATTTTGTTCAATTTTTTTGCCTTTAACTGCTTCCATTTCACGTGCCCCCACGTCGGATCAGGTTAACGTGTTAGAGGTAAAGCAGCTAATCAAGCCAAACTGGAAGAAACATGCAGCTTTGCAACAGAAACAAACCAATATAGGTCAAAAACTGTTGGTGTCTGGAGTAAATCAAATCAAATGTTTACCCTCCTTATGTTCAGGAATTAAGACACAAGTAAATGTTTGCTTTGCTCCAGTCCTGCACCTTTCAAGTTTTACAATGTCTGAAATGTGTCTTCAGCTGTCCATCCTTGAGCCATTAGAATTACTGATTTTCACATTTCCATTCAAATCTAAGTTAGACAGCGGAGTCAGCTCACTGGTTTTGGATTTCATGACTTGACTTCTTGAAATACTTATAACCTTTTCCGCTGTCTGCATGCCCTTTTAATAAAGGTTGCACATTTTCATGATTGTGCATATTGGGGTTTGTCACATGATGTCATGCACACATTGCTTGAGAGTTGTCTATCATACTGGATGTGATACAGTCATGGACTGATAGGGGAAAATGCATATTCCACCAACTGGATGGCAATGGTTTCTCGAGGTTGCTGGTGCTTGCTGGGTGAAATTGGTTGCAAAGACAATGCTGCAACAAAAACTTTGTTTGCTAGCAGGTTCCCACAGTCACCTTTAGTTTTTCAAGTTTGGCTGGAAATACTCATTAACTACTAGCCTAGCGGCAGATCATTTTGACAAAGTACAAGGAAGCCAGAAGAAGGTTCACATTTACACTTAAAAGTAAAAGCTGTTCTTGCATCACACTTGTCACAGTTTTGCTACAGCTAGAAGAGTAGTAGCTAGCTTCCATTCAAACTACAACTGTAGCAATAGGCTAGTAACTAGCTAGGGAATACACATTTTTCCGCTAGTAGGTGGTTACCCAGGGATTACTCACCCATGTTGTTGGCCTGTTTGATTGAGTCTTTAGCAATCATTTTCCCAATGTCTGCCATTAACCTCCAGCAAGCACTCGGAACCAGATGAGAAATACTCCTTTTTTTCGGTTGCCAGATAGCTGCAAACTGGTGGCTAGGCCTGTGTGACATTTCTCACTTACTCCTACATTGTCACCTTGATTGTCACACATCCAAAATGGCAGACAAGTTAACGTTGTGTGGTTCGCGGTCACGTGTCTGCAAAACCTCAATACAGATTTGGTGTTGCAGGTTTTCAACTAGCCCACCTGCTGCTTTAAGCTAACTTAGTCATAGTAGTTGTGTGGCGCCTGTGTGCTCCCATTGTGTTCAGCTGCATGTGATTTATAACACAGCCTAATAACTCGGTATCTGACTGTATGCTTGTGGAGTGAGAGTGTATTAGAGTAGAGTAGTGCATTACATACTCCTGCACAAGGTCACAAAAATTCCAGAAACTAAAGGGGACCTATTGTGCTCATTCCCACTTTATTTTGGAACTATGCAAGAACAGTTTTATGTTACTAACAGTTTAAAAAAACAAATCTTTGTATCTTATACTGGTACTATTTGCAGCTCCTCAGTTCATCTCTTAAACATATTACAAATTAAATTTCTGATTCTTAAAACAAAATTCATACTTTGATGGACACACTGTGTTACTCCAGTACAATTTTGGGGATCTATCGGTAGGATAAGTGCCTGCCTAGATACACACAATACAATTGTTGAGAAAGCTAATTTAGCCACATTAGCCTAGCATTAGCCTTTGGAGCAGTCATCAATACAAGACATCCAGTGTCAGTGATATAATATTACAGCTTCTATTTTATAGCTCTGGCTCCACAATGAAAATTCAGCTTCATACTGGCCTCAAATTCCACTGTTTTGTACTTTTAGAAAGCTAAACAAAATTAGCTTGTTTCTGTGACTGTATTTGGAAATACCATCCAATTAACATAGATTACAGGGATTACTTGTCCATATACTGAAGTATTTGAAAGTTTGTCCATGTCCAGTTCAATGTAATGTCAATTGTAACAGTGTGTGTGTGTGTGTATATATATATATATATATATATATATATATATATATATATATATATATATATATATATATATATATATATGACAGAAAATAAAGAGAAGCAAAATAGTTCCACTTTAATGTGCAAAACAATCTAAACCCAGAAAGGTTTTAGTCTATTCTTAAAATAGCCAGTATACAAAATTTGAAGTGGTTTAAATAGTTACTTAACCTTTAATTCATTTTCTGACTTATGTGATGTGAGCGTAATGCTTTATTTTCCCCTTCGCATTTAATGTGTGTGTCAGAAAAGAATACAAAGAATCTCCTCAAGACAAAAAAGGAACGGAAACCCCCAAAAGCACTTAAACCTCCACTTGAGTACAGTGAAAATACCCCCCCCGCCCTAACACTTTTAAGACTCTTTTAATACATATTAATAATCCATTTTAACTTGCTGACTAACAAATTACGATTCCATAACTTTACGATCTATCTTTACTTTCAACGTTATGTAAGGTTGTCCTCGTCTAAAAAGTAGGCTTCATAACATAAGCTGAAAACACATTTTTCATCAGTTTCCTTCCAATCGTGCAGATCTAACACGCTGTGTTTGTGTGTCTCTTTATGCGTGTGCGTGTCTCCAGGATCGACCCACATCTTCACTCCCACCAGCCTGCTGGAGCAGCTCAAGGCCATGAACAAACCAGACGAGGAAGTGACGAGCTAAAAATCCTCCAATCAGTCTCTCTCCTCTTAACCTTACTCCCACCCCCTTACATCATCTCCCCCCCCCCCCCCCCCCTTACATCATTCCCAACCAAATCCTACACATTAACTGTGTATGCATCTTGCTTGAGAAGAGAAAAAATTTAGACAATTAAAAAAAAAAAGAGAGATACGTTATATCAAAGAATAAAATTGTTGCAAGTATTCTCATATTTTACAATGGATGCAACTAAATAAACGTATTTAAAATTAATTCAATATCAGAAAAGAAGGCCATTTAAAATTGAAATGACCAAAATGTAATATTGTACGCTATGAAACCTGCTAGGATGTGTAAAAGGTAGATGATTTCTCTTGTTCGTTTCTTTCGGTTACCTCCATGGTGTGACTTTTACCTTTAGCAGATAGAGGAGGGATGTGCAGCCTGAGGGGTTCATATTGTAAAAAATATATCAGTCACCATGCAATTTATAGATATATGCATAGATATATTTCATCAGAGAGGAGTCTGTCCTATCACCCTTCCCTTACCCATTTGAGATGTTTGTATTCAGTAGCATGCTTCGACTGTGTTTGTATCCAGTGTGGATGTTCCGAGAGCCGCATGTAAATGTTGTGGTTGAATATGGCGCTTAAAAAAAACTTTTTGTTTTGAGCATCACAAAAAGGAAACTATTCTTCAAGGATTTTTAAGAGTTTAAGAGACAATTTCACTGGCCGCTTTATTAGGGATACCTTTCTCACTGCTTATTAACACAAATGTATTGCTAGTAGGTCATATGGCAGACGCTTGATGCATGTAGGCATGGTCAAGACGGCCTGCTGAAATTCTGGCAGCAAAAGGGGTCCAAACCTGTGTCAGCAAGGTGTAACTAATGAAGTGGCCGCTGAGTTTGTATGCTCAAGTAAACTTGGTCCCAGCTACTGAGCTTACAGGCTAGCAGAGAAGAAAGTAGAAAGTGTTCAGGGATGTATTGATTTTTGAGTTTTTGATACTCAAAACAAGATCTGTTGGTTTTAAGTATTCATTTTAAGAGCTCCACTTAGTCAGTCGGAAAAGAGGGAGCTCTGTTAGAAGCCAGAATCATCCCTCCTCCAGCTGCCGAGACTGTAAAGTATTTACTTGCCACAATCTTTTTCCTTTCCTCTGCAGAGACGTCACGTTTCAATGTCAAAAAGGCCGTTGCTTGCTGATATTTAATAAATAATCCTCCAAAAAGGGCCAGTTGTATTTCAGTATTGTATCCTGTCAGATTAAGTCTTATCATTGGTTAGTAACGATGTTTAATTGGGCCATGCACTGAGTAGTGTTGTGTATATGCTATATGTTGCTGTTTTAGCGTCTCACTGTTGAATGGTGATTTTTCTGACTGTGAAGTAGTGACTTTTCCTTTGACGAAAAAACAAAACAAAAAAAAGCCAATGTGAAGCCGCCGTGTTTGTGGTGTTTTAGCTGTAGCTGTTTAGTGGTCCACTGGGAAAAAGAACTAAGATCTATATTTTCTTTGTCTGTTTTCCTCCTCTGGTGCAATGTAAAACCCTCCAATGGTGAATGGCTTTGCAAGTTTAAAAAACAAAACAAAGAAAAACCCTGGAAACCCCTCGCCACTTTTCTTTCCTCCTTCTATTGCCTCTTTCCTGGCCAAACAGTTGTATATTGCACTATGATGCGTTTTCTGTGATGCAAACGCTTGTGTTTATTTTTTCTTTTTTATTATAATTTGCTGTTGTATAGGGTTTACGCTGTCAAATCAATTGATTTATATCAAAATTATTTATCAGAGAAGATAATATTGAAACATTAGTCTGTCCAAAAAACTGTTTAACTTATTGGGATTGTATGTTTGCGAGTGTTGAAGCACAAACAATACTTCCATGTGTACCTAATATGTACTAAGGTTGTCTAATAAATTGGCTTCCATTATACTGAAAGACTGAACTTTTTTCTATTATTTCTAAAACAAACAACAACACACAGTCATTCTTTTTTTTTTTTTCATTACGGAGTAGTGAAAATGACGTTGGATCGACATCGGCACAAATGAGCAATAAATAAAAAAAACAAAGTACAAAAAGCATATCTAGAACATCGCATTTTAAAATATATCATCTATACAGACAAAAAAACCTTTGATATCCAGCATCTGAGGCCCTTGGTACATCAAATGATTATGGTTTGAAGAATGACCATCTAAAACTGAGCTCATGGCTCATGAGTGCATTTCATTTACAGCAGAAAGAGTTTCTACATCATCAGAAAATGAATTTCTACAGCGACTAAAATAAGACTGAGGTTAATTTCAGATTTCTGAAAACTAGTGTCACATGATCAAGAAATGGCTCAAAGTGCAGAACTAATTCATGAGAATATACAGGTCTCTGTAGTACGTCATAGGTTTGAAAATAAATATGATCTATAAGACATAATAGTGTAAACAGAGTTATTGTAATGTTTACCAGCAGATAAAAATACATGCTTTGGCCACCTGAGCAGGGCGGGGGAGAGAACTATCTTTGAAAACATCAGCAAAGAAAACTTACAAAGAGGATTTGAGATATTCACTTTGGTCCGACTCAGTTCTTTTGGCTCGTGCCTCGTTCTGCAGCTGCTTTTGAGTTAATGACTCTCAGTCTTAGTGCCTGTGATGACAGTTCACACTAGTAGCTGCAGGACTGAGTGAGCAGCTCCTGGTACTGCAGTCCAGATGCCAACGAGCCAGCCATGTGCCTGGAGGTGTGTTTCATGTGTCGAGCTGCTCTGATGGCTTTGTTCAGTGAGCTGTCCAACGAGCGCTCCCTGTCAACAGACAGTGAGCGTCTTTTCGTCCTCCTCCTCACCTCCCCAGGACCAGTGACCTCGGCAGACATCGGAGTTCTGTTAGGAGAGACGTAGAGGGGGGACGAGTACAACCTGAGGAGATGGTAAAAAGTAAGTAAGGATCAGGACAGAACAAGATGTTTCTATGTAACATTCTCTCAAAACTATATATGAAAAATGTTATGTATCAGAAACTGTTCAATAAACTGCACATAACTTGCACTATTTTGCCCCAAATCCTCATCCAGCAAACCTCTCAGCTGGGAGGGAAAACCTCCCTTCAGCGCAGCCATGTGCACTTAGGGAACGACCTGGCCAGTCAAGCCAGCGAAATCTTCCTTCTGTGTTTTTAGACTGAGGCGATAATGCTGTGTGGATTCTGGACACAGTTTGTCATCTTTAAATTTAAAATTAAATAGAAAATAAGGATATATAAATGAAATCTGTTATTTGCATGTTAATCTAAAAGTCTGGGAAACAAAACAAAAAAAGAAGCAGAAAATGAAAATTTTAGGCTTTTAGGATTTTTGCATACTGTGTCAGATGAGTGTGTGAGCTATGAGACCAGCGCACTTACAGGAGTGGTGGAGGGCACACTGGCATGCACTGCAGCAGTGCAGGTGGAGCTGCAGATGCAAAGAACCTGCTCCCCACTGCTCCATCAGGGGACTCGGCTGGCTGGTACTTTATGTGTGTGGAAGTGTCGGAGAGTCTGTGACTGTCTGCGAACCACAGAGCAGGCAAGGAGCTCCATTAACACTTAAAATAATTGCACTCATTTCATTTACTGCAGACTAAATTTATGAGTCAAGTGGAAATCGGGCATAAATTTCCACACAACTAAACTCTTGTCTTTGTGTGGTGAAATAATGGATTAGCCACACAAAGATAACAGTACATCCTTCTTCTGATAAGGATTTAAACCTCAGTGCTCTGTGCATCTGAAACGCATCTCATGGTCTCTAACCTGGCTTAATGACTTTGTATGATTCGAGGCGTCCGCAGAGAGGACATTGATGGCAGCAAGTGGAGGAATGGAGCATCTCTCTACCGCCACCAGCTGGTCCTGACAGTACAGAGACATCATAGAAGAGGCTTTATGGAGGCTGATCGACTCATTCAAACCATAAAATTAATCCAGATAAAGCTTTAACATTAATTTAAAGATGTTTTTAACCAAAGTGCACTTCAGACACTTGGATTCTGCCCTCTTTGCTAGCAAACATGTTTATCCAGGCATTCATTCTCACGTTCAGGGGATGCTCTGTGAAATGACAAACACTGAGAACAAACAGGAGCTTGACTTCTTCTGCTGTCAGGTTCATCTCCTTTTTCAGACACAGAAACAACAGGATGCTTCCCTGCAATACAGAGAGAGGTTTCCCTCAGCTCAAACCCTCAAGACTGCAGTGTAGATGACTGAGAACCTACATGGATTTATTTAACATGTCTGAACAGGTCCCACTGCAATTTCAAATTTCTGAAGCTGTATTTGACTGAATTTGTCTTTGTGTCTCCAGTGGTGTGGTAGGTGTTCTTACTGTGCTGTGTTCGCCTGCTGTAGACAGTAGTTGTGTGGGAAGAGCAGCTGTCTAGTGCTGCAGATGTTTGAGTGCATCTGGACACCTGAGGCTGTGGTGCACAGGGCTGCAGCGCCGATCTTGTCACTGAAAATAAAACACTGACTCAATAAGTGATAGGGCTTGCCATTAAAAATAGGAGTTAATGAGCATAACAGGCTTCAGAATCAAAAACAGGATGAGAACCTTAAAGGAGACGACACTGTTAGTCCCTGTGAGTGAACATGCTTCGGTTTGACCATACAAGCTTTCATAATGGCTAAATGAAATGAATAAACTGGTATCACTCCGTCTCCCTCCTTGATTTTAATGATCATTTGTTAATCACGATGAACTCACAGTAATCATGTTGTGGCTCTTGTTGGTTTATAGCAGATTTTCTCCTGGCTATTCGTCTCTGTGTGGACTCCTCCGCAACCTCGTCCACCATCTGTGTTTCTCTTTTCCCTGCACTGACATCACTCCGCTGCTCTCTAGACCTGAGAAGTGGAAGAAAACTAAATTAACAGCAAGCAACAAAAAGCAAGTCTGCTATAAATGCTTAAAACTTCACTTGTGACATAACTATGAAATTTCCAAATCAGGCCGTAGAATATAAGATCACATAGTTCATTATGCATCCACAATTATTATTATTAAATAAATAAATAAAACTTTATTTATACAGCACCTTTCTAGACAGAGTCAAAAGTGCAGCACATCAGATAAAAAGTCATAAATTCCAGATGTTGTTAGACATCTGGAATAATTTGAAAAATTTGGGAATATCACCCAAAGCAAGCAAACACAAATCAGGTTTTTAGTGCTCCTACTTGGCAGCAAAGACAAGTGACTGTATAATCCATCACAGTAGACTGACTCTGTGGTTTTATGTGGAGCATTGAAAAGAAAAAAACAAAAACAACCTGAAGCAAGATGAAGAGGAGCTTTGATTAGAGCTGTTATCCTGAGTTGATGGAGCTGATCTAATAGAGCTGATAGGCTTCTTGTTTCTCAGACTATCTTCTAGTCTCTCCTTCAGTTTGGTTACCTCAGCCTGCAGTATCTGGACTGCATCACTAGAGGAAAACAGAAAAAGGATCTTTACAAAATAATCCACCTTTGCAGTTCATATGTAAGCTTGAACTAATGCACTATCATACCACACCAAGTTTTGTGGCCAAATATTGTGACGTGACCTCTAAAATGCTTTACTGTGGAAAATATGCAACTAAACCATTCAGCTGGTAAAAAATGGATGGCAAATATTGATGTAGGTGCACTCGCATTCTGAAAAGAAACAAGAAACACCACACCGTGCAGGAAACAGAAGCTCCTAATATACAACCTGATTCAACAGCAGGCGATTCTGTAATAAAATACATAAAAGAAAATTATAATAAAAACATTACAACTAGTTTTTGGCGTGATCATGTTACTGCATTATTGTAGCAACAGTTATTGTCATTCATCAGAAATCATTAGGATTCACAGCGACACTGTAGAGTGACTATCTACTGCCTCACTCTCAGAGCTTTGTGTTTGTGACATTCTCCACTTGTACTGTTGACTTGTTTGCTTCAAGTCCCATCCAGACACTCACATGCAGTTCTGACTGGAACTCCTTGCTCGTGGAGAATCGCAAAGGTGGTGCTGAGTAGTGGTGGAAGAGCTTGAGTGTGAGCTGTCGAGGAAATTGATAGATTTGCTGTACTGGTCAGTCTTTTCACCTTCAGAGTCAATGCGAGCTGTAGAAATAAGGGGAGGTCAGCAGCTTAAATACTCAAAAAGAGAGAGAGAGCACTACTGATTACTAAGTAAATCAAATTGGAAACTCACTGCCGTCACTTTCAAGTCCAAACTCACTGCTGCCACTCGCCACCCTTTGTTGTCTCAGATTGACACAGCGCTTTGGAGAGCAGGAGGAGGTGCGTCTCCTCACTGCCCTTCTGCATCTCTGTGGTTGGTCGAGGCTGAGGCTAAGTCGGGAGCTCATAATCAGGTCTTTAGCTGTATGACTGTGCAACGGTGAGGAAAAATGAGATGGTGCAAAGACTCGGCCTGTCTGAAGACTCGTGCTTCCTTCCTGAGGCACTGGAACACCGCTGCACCATAATGGACAAAAACAAAAACACAGAAGACTTAATCAAAGAAAAAAAAAAACAATCACTTTAAAACAATAGAAAATCACATCAGAATGTGTTGTGTGTGTTATGGGGTGGGGGATGGCACCTGAGCTGAAATTATTAGTGCAGTAAATCACTATGGAGGAAGGGAGGCCGAGTTGGACTCACCTCTCTAATGCCCTCTGGTGGAGAGGACTGGAAGTTGCAGGAGTTAGACGGCTGCTCTCTGAACCAACAAACCCGCTGTCTGTCTCTGGAGAGATGATACCATCCTACAAAACAGAAGTTATACAACATTAATACTGATCATCACACTAGGCAGCTGCAACGAATATGTCAAATCTTTAGTAAAATAAAGTGTTTTGTTAATCATTACAGAAATATTTTAGTATTATTGTAGGGTCTTTATCTCATAGCATAAACCACCTTGAGGCGACTGCTGTTAAATAAAGTTTATTTTTTTAGCTACTTTGAAACTAATTAAACTTTGGCATGTTAAAAAGAGGCAATTCAAATAGTGCACATATACACTGATTGAGTTAGTCCAAGGATATAGGGAGCATTTTGCACTTATATATCAGCTGTATTTAAGAAGTCACCCATAGAGAAACCACTGATTGGTCATTAATTGACACTGTTAAATCTAAGCCTATGCAAAAACAAATCACAGAATATGACGAGCTTATGTTGAGGCGAAGTGAAGAGGAGGAGAGGGACAGGTGCTGCTAGGGTGAGACAGACGTCTCTCACGGAGTCCTTTAGTGCTGCAGGCAGGCAACATGTTCCGATAGCGCACAACTTCAGTTTTTTTATTTCTATATGATAATTGTGCATTATTAAGTGATAAGAACAAGTAATCTGATGCCCTTTAATCATTATGAAGCTGTAATTTGAGATACAATAAAAGATACAATAAATAAAATATGTTTTTGTACAAAGTATCGGTATCGGATCAGTATCGCCGATACCACCCTGAATTTTACTTGGTATCGGATCGGAAAGGAAATCAGTGGTATCGCACATCACTAGCGCTGATCTGTCAGCTTGTTAGTAATAATAATATTATATACAATATATTAATTAGCACAAGGAAAATGCATGAGTAAAACAATATATAATAGGCTATACCTAGCTAACTAATTTGCTAAAAATGCTAATGCAATAAATAGTATTCTGCCAGTGTAGACATATGACAGTATGTTGCTTTAATAGTGCCAACAATATGTGTATGTAACCAGGTTCTTCCTTTTAGTAAAATTTAACTGTTGTTCAGTATTTATCAGCTCCAAATCCAAAAATGATCAGCTCATTTTCACTCAAGCTTGGTAGAACCATACACCATACAGGCCATAATAAAGCAACAGTTTTACTCGAACTGATACAGGATAAGTGACCATCAATATCACTGACCTGAGAAAACACTCTCCTGCCCCCAGCCTGAACCTCGGAGCTCCTCACCTCTGACACTTTTACATCTCCGAGGCTACTCAGACTGCTGCTGTGAGACTTTCCCACCTCTACCCTCTTTATGTTACTCTGACGAAAAACAGGAAACATCATGAGCCGGCTGGAGGCCGGGCGAGGACTGGACCTGCTGTTTTGCTGTTTGTTCACGTCAGAAGAATAGCCCTGATGGTCTGATTGTGCATTCCTGTTAACAGATAATTGGAGAGAATTTAGTCCAGTGGTCGGAGAAATTAGCTTCCTCCCAATTGTGTATTTTTTTTTACTCAATTTTTTGTCCAATAGAAAAAACAAACTGCTGCTGGTGAAAATGCAGACCATCTTGCCTTTTACTTTGAGACTAACCTCTGAGAGAGAGTTTTCCAGACTTCATTGTTTCCAGTTTCCTGTCTGTCCTTGTGTTCAGACTGCATGTTAGTTCTTAAAGCAGGAGAGGAGAGAACTGCTTCATTCAGGCTACGCTCTAGAAGTTTGGGAAGCTCCTTGATGCTTCGGTAGCTAAACAGATGGAGGAGAAACAGTTAAATAATTAAAAAGTCCCAGCTGCAGGGCTCCTTATTGATCAGATTTCATGATATTGATGCATTTAAATATAGCTACTCACTGATTCACTGCCATGGTAAAGTCCTCTGCAACACTTTTAATTTTGCCCTTCAGAGGATTGAGGTAGAGAGTTTCTTCATCCTCTCCCTCGGACTTCTCTTCATCGTTCTCTTTACAGGCTGAGCTCACTTCTGCTTCCGCTGCCCCAGAGAGCAGAGGCACAGGCAGGACCTCAAAAGAGAAAAAGAGAAAAGTAATTGACAAGATAAAGTCTGGTAAAGCTGTGATCCTGTCCTGAACAGGGATTTCATCATAAACCAAAAATAGTCCAATTTTGTGAAATAAAAATGCAAGTTTTCCACTACAAACCACATTAAGCAGTTAAACACGTTATGTATAACACACTCACAGCACTCACAGGTGCAATTTCAGCTTTTTCCATTTTGCCTAAGGACAGTTCCATATAACAGTACACTGGAGGAGCTGGGATCTAACCACTGACCTTCTGATTTGTGGTAATCAACCACTCTGCAGATGTCTGCCTTGTAACTAGAGTGTGAATGAATGCAATTCCCTACACTCACTGTGCTACAAGGGCACTAAAAACACATACCTCCTCCACACAGACTAGGTTTATTACAATTTTCCCACGCTGCTCACAGAGTCATAATAATCCCGGCCATACACAGAATAAAATGATGCTGTTGCTACCTGTGGGTGAGTGAAGGTTACAACATCCACAGAGAGGGCAGATGGTGTGGTTGGTTGAGGAGGTGGAGAGGGGGGAGTAATCCAGGTGGGCTGATCCGGTTGCATCTGTTCCACCTGCTCCTTCAGCTCGTCCGTACGCAGCCCACACTGAAAGATCAGCCCCTCTAACTCCCTGATGCATAACATACATGTTAAAAAAGAAAAATGAATCAAAACAACTGAGTAATGAGCACACATAAATGCAAAATATAAAATGTATTCAGATGTAATGCTGGACATCAACATTACCGTTCTGGGTCAAACTGGCTGATTTCTATGCCTCGCTGCTGCAGGAGTTTGTGCTCATCCCTCGCCAACAAGTATCCCCTCTCCAAAGATTCGAGCCCCTCGGCAAGCTGAGCCATACCCTAAAAGAAAGAACTTTTATGTATTCCATTCAATATATGTTCCCATTAGATGTGATGTTTAAAAACCTAGAGAATTCTGCTGTGCTTTTGTTGCTTTTACCTCAGTTTGTTCAAAAGGTTGAAGTTTTTTGCTTTTACGGAGATCCTCAAACGTCTGCAGCTGAATGAAAAATCAAAAGGTTTATCATTGATTAACTTCCTAAATGACCATTATTACCAGCCAGCAAATCGGATCATTCTCATCTCTAAAGATTTAATTGGCCAGTTACCTGCTGCAGAAATGTTTCGGCCTGGCTGAACAGAATATTGGCTAGCTGCTGTCCAAGCTTAGAGCCTGGTTCGGTAGGACCGGTAGCTGAACTTCCTGTTACATGGACAAACAGATTAGAAGGAAAATGCACACAATGCCTGTTGTATACAATCATCAAAGCCAGAGACAGTTCACCCAAAAATTCTAAATATCTGCAGAGTCATTTCTCCATTCAGATAATTGTGGTGCAAGCTGCCCGGTTTAAAGATACTGACTAATACAAGATTTAGCAGCAAAGAAGTAACCATTAAATAAAATGAAGATACCCTGATCTGTCGTGGGTTTCTGAGCCCGAGGAAAATCAAATTTTAGCAACTTTGAAGCACCGCAGTTTAGTCCTGATTGCACGCAGTGGCCGGGATTTGGTGGGTCAGAGTACAGGTTAACCTGGAAGAAACATGAAAAACAAAAACAAACGTGTTCTCAATAATTAATACCTAGCCTGTCTGTATGTGGACTTCTACATTTTGTAAGAGACACACTGTTTCACTGTATAGTACTTTTACCCATACAAAATGAGACTTCAGCAGGTTTTGATCAGTGTTTGTTCTAATTTCTCATTCTAGAAATGTGAAGCGAATCAGATTAAAAAACAGTATACACACAGCAGGAAAACACTCCCATCTAGTGTCCACAGGTTGTAAGCTTTCACTAAGGCCTCACAACTATTCTGACTAACACATAAGGAGGGTACTGAGGTAATTAAGGGCAGGGGAGAATAACAGAGTTTGGAAAAAAATGAGTTAAACATAGTCAGTCATCAGCCAACCAAAGTGTGAAAATGAGCTTGACAGTCACTCAAAGCTGTAAATCTTTATGACCTTTAACGGCTCTCAGAAGGCCCTTTCCCCACACACACACAGCCTACATATTGCAAAAGTAAACAGCTGCATGGCACCTACAGGGACACTTTAATATACAATTAAGAGACAACAGAGATTAATCAGAAAGACAAAAACCCCACTTAAAACCTAAATTCAGATCATCAATCAGACTGGAACCAGTCAGATTTCTTATTAAACTGGTTATAAGCTCAGCTACAAAAGGTAAATCTACTGGAACATATGTCTAATCAGAAAAAAATACTTACTAACAAATATCTGCAAATTTTGTTGTAAAGGAACTCCTCCCACCCTGCCTGGGTGAGGGGAGGATAGAACAGATGGTGGTTCAGTTTGTAATGAATGAGATGGGAGAAAATGGAGGTGAGGAGTTCAGTAAGCTGATTTCAATTAGTGCTGAATGTGAAGCGCTGCAGCACAAACAGAAATGAGCCACCAAATCTTTAAATGACCCAATTCCGAACACTTCAGCACTACTCCTGCCTCTTCTGTATTTATTTCAAATCCCACTTTTCTGAGATTTGTAATCATTTGTATGACATACTGCTCTGTCTATGATGCGCTGAGCCTGCCTGGACCTGGGATGCTGATTCTCTAAATTTCTGTCCTGCAAAAATGAAATATAGACATATAAATGTTGTGACATAATGAATTTATTTCATAATTCTAATGATTCAAATTTTAAGCTCTACTTTGAAAGTACTTTCACAGCTGTTCAACTATCGAAAGCCACATAATTACTCTTTGTTGACAAGAAAAATTCAATAAATGCCTAAAATTTAAGTAAATAAGTTGTATATCACTTTGAAGTTTGGTATTAACTTTAATATTTTATAGTGGCTTAATGGTTAGACCACTAATAATTACATATGATAGTGAGATGTACTGTTTTTCAATCCACACCATTAAAAGGTGATAAATTATAGCTGGATCTCTAGATTAACTACCTTGGCTTCCAGACGCAAACGATCAATGGTGTTCTCTGCCTCAGCGTACTTAGTCAGCAGTCTGTCGTAGTCTTCCTGCAGCCAGAGGAAATAAAGGAGAAGGAAGTGAGGAGAAGCAGTGCAAAAGAAATGTGACATGAGGAAAAAAAAGTGAGACAAATGAAAATGAAAGGGAATAAAGCAAAAATGGGGGTGGCGATAAAAGAGAGGACTAAAAGACTGGAGCGGAATTTAGGTCCAGTTTAGTCTAATTCATCCTGTGAGGCTGTCAAACGTAAACAAAAGCTGAACATATGAGGACAGCCAGGCAAAATATCTCTGTGTACTTTGGTTTTGGATTTGCTTTTGTTGCTTTTGTTGGCTGTCCAAATAAATGGATGGATGTCTTAATGCTCAGTTTCAGTATAGTAACTGAAACGCTACAGCAGACAGTGACATTCTGGGTAATAATATTAAACAAAATTCATTCTAGAAAATGTATTTGTATGTTGTTGTTATATTATAGTTAAAACTAAGTGAAGAGAAATCGGTGTCTTATTTTCACGTTCAATAAAAAAATGAACAAAATGTCTCCATTATTCAGATTCCACCACTGTGATGAGTTTGATTTGAACCGTGACACTAAAACAAAGAGGAAATAAAGTGGGGCACCCTAAAACTACGAGTCTCATGTGCCATGTGTTTAAATGCGTTTCCCCTATTTTTCCCATTTTAAAACCTTGAGCTGGGAGCTGGGAGCTGAGATGAGACTTTTTCTAAATATATTAGTCCCTTCTGGCATATCCATGTTTGATGTTCACACATTATTAAATTCTAAGTGCGTCCTGTGTGACGTTTTCGCCTTTTGAAATGAAAGCTCGTACTTTAAGTCCAGTCAGTATTGGCATTCACACTAACCTGGAAAAACTCAGACTTCTTCATGACATTTTGACTTGTTATAGTACAAAAAGCACAGATCTTATTACTGAAGCTTCAATTACGTGTCCCAGCAGACCCTGTCAGTGAACCTGTATTCACAGAAATAGAACCTCCCCTAAGCAGAATGCAGCCATCATTACTACAACTTTGATTTTAATACTGGGACAAGTTAGATATCTTCTGTCCATCTCAATCAACTTTAGTGGTTTAAAGTAATTTTACAGAGAACTCTTCCAAACTGAAATACCTCTTAGTCTCTACTAGTACCTGAAGCTGATTGACCAGTGTGGTGGCCTGCTGGTGGCATCTGAACTCCTGAGGCACAATAGCGTTGATTGCACTGGTTGCCTGTCCGTCAGAATCTGGCGAGGTAGGAGATTCACCAGCGGTGTTCAGTAGGACTTCTTTCACTATATCAGCAGGGGATTTGAAGACTATAGCTGGCTCGGGTGATAAGGACTTCCTCGTTAACGAGGACCTGCTCTTGGGGGGCTTGTAACCGCCTTTGGGAAAATGAACTCTGGGTTCGACCTTCGAGAAGTCTGGTGTGTGGTAACTCAGAGGCCCCTTTCTGGAAAAAGAGAATTGTGATGTATGAAAATAGAAAAGAGCAAAAAGAAAGCCCAAATAAAATGGTTAATAAAATGTGTTTTACCTAGATTCGTCCTCTGCAACAGCATTGCTCCTGGTTCTAGGCGTTACCACGTCCCTGTCACGACGTGTGTTCTGTTGTTTGTTGGGCCTGACTGTGCCGGGGGAATGAGTTCTTGAATATGCAGCCTCAGGAGAGTGCTTCCTTATCTTTCTTGGTGTGGGAGTGGGGTGACTATGCTCCTTATCTCTCTTTCCTGATTCTTTTCCAGGGCCATTACTTAATCTCCTGTAATGATTTGAGATGACCTGTTCAGAAAACAATGCTGCTGGCTGAGGCGAAGCCCTGAGCTTTATCTCGGGACAGTGAGGACTGGAGTTGAGGCTCACGTGGCTACTGTTAGACTCTTGAAAACTTTCTGTAAAGCTTATTTCTGGAAAGGTTTCAGCTTCAATTCCTGGGGCAGTATTTAATTCCTCGGCAGTGAAATGCAGACGATGGGGTAAGGCAGAACGGGAGGCTGGACAGGAGACACTGTCCACAGCATGCAGCTGAACGCTAGAAGATTGTCCTGAGCTGATCTCTTTTTTCTCTTCTTTATCACGATATCCTTCAGCGAGTCCTGCCAGCTTTCTTCCAAGCTCCCCTGATGTTCTAGTGTGCTCAAATTTCTTTTTACTCCAATCACTCCTCCCTCTCTCTTCTCCATCTTTGTCATCATTCGTCGTGTCGTGGTGTTTGTTCCACTCAGAAAGATGCTCTGCTACCTGCTCCTCCATTCTCCGCCTCACCTCCATATCCTCTGACCACGTTTTTAACTCATCTATAATTACAAAAAGAAGAAGGCATGAAAAAATAATAAGGAAGCAAAAAATGTGTTGCGCAACAAAGGACTGTGTAGTTTTAATGAATCACACAAATGTGCACCGTCTTTGGTCTTCAAGCGCAATCAGTTCCATGACTCCAGCCATCAACAACCAAACTTATTTTAAATTTGGCAGTTTCCCTTAAGGTCATCATGTTGGGGACCCCTCCTCCCCAAAAACCTCGCCAGCGCTTCTGCAATTTTTTAGCTTTCTCTGCTTTAGACAGGTTCACGGATCAGTAGTGATGAGAGCTTTGTCTCAGACCACAACTCTGTACTAAACTGCTTGTTTGTTCCTTATTGTCTAAAGCCCAAGGTGGCACATAATGTGAGGAGTAGAACCAAGGGGATCCATGCCATTATTCAAGATTCACTTAAAAGTGTTACTGTTATGTGTCAAGGTGTGTGAGGAAAATATTCTGAACAATGTCAGTGTTCACCACAATCCTACTCACTAGATTTGGCTAAATCCCGTTTTGTTTTGACTTCTCAAAATTGCCCAAAGAGACTAATATGACAGGGAGACAGGCAAAATTTTGTGTGTATTTGTAAAGATTTTACAATTGTAAATTACTCTCTACAGTAGAACCAAACAAGCAGGGACCTCTTTTAATCACCTGATGACAAAATAATTAGTATCTCGAGAACAAAGACAGAATTTACATTTTTCAGTTGTCAGGATTTGTTTGTTTTCTATCATCTTAAGCATATTATTTTTAGGTTTTAGAAAATATAAAATATGAGAAAACAAAAAAAATGAAAACAATTATTCAATTGTTATTCAAACAGGTCTCAGAATTAGGTGTATTCAAGTGCTTTAGAGTGGAAACTAAGAAATGAAGGTCAAGAAAAAAGTTAATAAATTATAAATGAATGCTCACAGGATGACAGTTTTCCTGTATCTTCTTCTGTTGGTTTATGGTGCGACAGATGCTTACTCAGCTTGTAGATCATCTCCTCAGACGGTGTGTCCCTCTCAGCCACACTATAATCTGCCTCCTCTGGGGTGAGGGATCCAGGGCACCCATCTGAATTGCATTCCTCCAATTCCACATTTTCAAGTGCCTCTGACAGTCCAATGATACCATTCTCATCCATTTGACTAAAAAAGTCATCCTCTTCTTCTGCCTGTTCTTCATCCTCTTCATCCCACTCATCCTCTGATATAGCAGTGCTATTAGGTGAGGAGTGGACCGGGGCAGGGGTCCAGAACAGAACCCCTGCTGTGGTGTTCTGTCTTGTTTCCATTCACCTTGCAGCCTCCCTCAGTTCTTTGTTTTGACTTCAGTTACTGTTTCAGCCAGGCCTGGGAACCTTTAGCATCTTTTTTAGTTTCTTTGGCTCTGTAGCCACTTTCAAAACCATGGTGGAGGAAGTTTACAAATTGCAGTAGAAGTCATTGAGCTGGTGGCAGTCCAGAGGTAACAGCTACAGACTCAGTGATTACTCTTCAGTGCTGAGGAACAGGAAGCATTTGGATGCAATACCTGAAACACAAACAAGCAACCGATACTTATTTCACTACATGTAACACTTTGCAATGAATCAAGGTTAACACACCTTGAGTAGCACGATTTGTTAATGCAGAAGATTTGAGGCTAACCCCAATTCCTAATCTATTTTCCATTGAAATAATTTAACAAAAAAAAAAAAATCATGTCACAGATAAAAAACAAACAAACAAACAAAAAACATCCTAGACATAACAAACACAATAAAGCCATGAAAAAAGAAAGAAATTACAACACTCTTTATTTGCTTACTTGCTTGGTTTAGGTAACGGCAATTATTTCCAATTAAAATAAACAAAAAACAAAAATTAAAGTTCTAAATTGTCTAATCCTTCAGTCTAAAAGCTTTTCTGTTCTCTTTATCAGTGCTTGTATTTTATTTTATTTGCATTGTACTAAACAATACAGTCAAACTCATTGGAGAGAGCTTTTAATGCCATCTACACGACTTTTTTTACTCTGTTTTAACACTGATCAAACTCTGAGACAATAAAACACAAACAGACTTGACCAGGATAATAATAATCAGTAAATTCAAAACTTAATACCTTTACTATATACATAATTAAAAATGTTCATAAATGTAATCATAGATGACAGAATGGGAATACACATATAATCTACCAGCTAGATGCTGCTACCTTTAAGAAAAGGCTCCTGATTATTTAAAGCTTAGTTGACTGACTATTTCCTTTGAAAATGTGCAGTTCAAACACTGACTCGTGATATTTTAGGATATCATGAGAATATTTACAATGCAGCACGTATGGACCGGTTTCTAAGGCGACATGAACTTTGTGTTTACACCACTGATTTAGAATTCTTTTTATTGCCCCCTGCTCAAATCCTGTACCATCTGCTCACACCGTACAGCTTTTACACACACTACTGAATTCATCTCAGTTGCTTAACTCACAGGAAACAAACACAGTATACAGGTAACAGATCCTCGATTAGTCTGCTAGTTCAAAATGTCACATAGCAAGTCTCCCAAGAATTAGCTTGGAGCTGCAACACTCACTATGGCAACTCCACAACATGAGCTCAAGTTGTGTTTTCAGAGTGTGCAGTTAAACATCTCTGACAGCTATACAGCCAGTGGCTCACTCCCAAAGCTGCATTTCAATGTGCTAGAGCAAGGGTGGGCAATTAATTTTCCCAAGGGGCCACGTGAGAAACTGGGACCGTTGTGGAGGTCCAAAACAATAAGCTTATAAAAAGATACAATTAATACTGAGCAGAACTGAGTTCAACTTGGTGGTGCAGTCCTCCTAATTGCCAACAGGTCTCAAAGAACATCAAGACCATGCATATTTAAACTTTAAGCTATTTGGATTTGATTGCTTGAGCAGCAAAGTCACACTGTGTAATTATCACTTACTTCCACTTCCACTTACAGAACAGCTATTTCATAATGATGATGTAGCTTGATTATTTTGGTTTTGAGCCAGCAGGTCAGGAAATAACAACTGCATACCGGGTCATGGACTTTAACATGCATCAATGACAGAAGCAAAGTCTTGCAATTAACATTTTAAAACAAAGCGCAAGTAAAGTACACACTCTACAGCACTCACATTTCCATTAAGAAAAGTGGTAACCATGGTTGGTTGCTTCTTTCATCAATATCCCAGATTACCAAAAGAAGATTATGAAGCCTGGTGCTTCTTTCATCTCTTAACTAACATACAAACGTTACACACAAACACACTCAGATTTACCCACAGACGCGCATGCACAGACTCGCATCACGCTGAGCCCTTTCATACACAAATCACTGGCGACTCTCCACACAGGCCAACATGGCAAACTCACCATGCATTTAAACTAGACCACAAGGAACAAGAGCACGCAGCTCTGCACATAAACAACATGAGAGGTAGGTTTACAACAACAGTCATTTCAGAATAGAATTGCTTAGAGCGCACAGTGTAATTATGGTATTATTTCTAAGGTTTCTTCCTTCTTGGACAAACACGAATTTTCAGGCAAATGAGGACCAAATCCCCACCAGGCTGTTGCTGAAGTGAAACTGCACAAGCCACAAATTAATGTGATGCAAATATATGTATCACCTGACAGTTTAGTGCTCATTTTATTTTAATAGATTCATAGCCATAATAAAAATTTCTTCACCAAAGATTTTACACACAAAATGAGATTCTATTATTTAAGCCATGCAAACGTGTGGTCAAATTACATTTTTGTTCATTTTTTAAGAAAACTGTATGTGAAAGTCAAGCTTACTGATGCTTTAGCAATAGCTTGCAGTTTAAAGTGTCTGAAATGTGATGTAGAAATAAAACTGTGGATGTCAAGAAAGATTTGCACATTCACTGGGAAGAAAGATAAAGCAAAAACCCTGATGTGACTGCAAAGTGCTTGGAGGACGGTTTAGCTGACACAGTAGCAACAGCTCTCCTTTCATGCAGCATTTATGTACAAAAAGGTTCTACATGAAAGAATCATCAGAAAAACTTTACCTGCTACCTCATCACAAATGTCAGTAGAGAGACGATGAACAGATAAAGATCTTTAGTTACAACCATTTTGGAGAAAAAGAAGGTGGGGAATATTATTAAAAGAACACATTTCCTACTGAGGACTGAGGTCGAAATACAATTATTATGAATTTTAATAATTCAACTAATCATGCAGTCAGCCCAGAAAAGTAAACTAAAAAGATACAGAGCTTCCAGGATAATTATCCATGTAATGGGAGGAAATAATAATAAAATTAAAATGAGGTAAGACAGCATAAAATGTAATTCCTAAATTCAGAAGCTTTTACATTATCTGTATCTATAGGAGCTTCATTTTGGTGAGGAAAAAGAAGCACAAAAAGAACTCACCTGTTACTCTGCTCATAACTCCATGTTCATGCCCAGGAGAACTAAGTATTTAACTCAGCTGCCAGATTTGGGGGGGAGATGGGGTAAGCTGCTCTAAATCCCTGACAGGGGGCTTCACCGATTGTAAAGAGACAATAATCATCATGCAGAACACGAGACTGAAAAAACTCGGTGCTACAGACAAACTAATCACAACCAGATGGTGAGGCAAGCCAAGAATACATGTATGATGCACCGGTAAGCTGGATGTTCGGGAAGGACAGAGATGAGGAATGACAGCGTGAGAGAAAAAAAGGATAGATGATACGGAGGAAGAGGAGAGAACAGAAGAAGAAAAGCTGTCATAAAATCAACAGGGAATATATATGTTTTCACAGAGTGACACTTGCTGAATTTTGAGCACACAGTGAACAGAAGTGTAGGTGGAGCTGCCCCACAGAGCACCGATCTGTTTAGGAACACCTAGTGAATAAGATATGGCAGCTAATCTCCTTAGGAGGCACAGGGAGCACTGAGGACACAGGATGAATATGCAGAAGGAGCCGCTCAAGAGAGTGATTTAATATTTTTACTGTTATTTTAAATACTACTGAACTGGAATGCTCTGGCATTGGACTTTAGACTACAAGCCATATTTAACAATACATTCATTCAGTGCTTTAAAAGTGCTAATTAACCTAACCAAAGCATGTCTTTGGACCGTAGGAAGAAGCAAAAGTACCAAGAGGAAATTCAAAAAGGCAGGGAAAACAGGCAAACTCTACGCAGAAGGACACCAGCTAGGATTTGAACTAGGAAACTTCTTCCTATGAGATTATAATACACTGCCCACAATGACTGTTGACTGGTTGACTAAATTGTGCAGTGTCAAAATACGCTGTCATTCATTGAGCAAAACATTGGCAACTTTTGTAAGCAAAAAGGCGATTTTTTTTGGCAGAACTGGCAACAAGTCTGGACCTAATTTTGACCATGTGCTTTTGACTATCCAGCCTCAATACTCTGCCTTACCTGCACGTAACCTGTACGTTACAATGTTTTCCATCTTTATGCACCTTCTTACTTCATACTCCCAGCGGACTCTGAGTTCAATAATATTGACATACTAACAACATTTTCAGCTTCCTCTGGCAGAACAAAAGGGTAAATAGACTGGTGCATGTATAATTTTCATCTACACTTACTAAACACTTTTTTTAGGGCTTTTTTACACTACAAGCTAAACCCATGAACAGACTGAAACACTTTTATCACACACACACACACACACACACACACACACACACACACACACACACACACACACACTCTGAAAGGAGTGCATAATTTGGGATTCAAGGACACATCTAGATGCAGACTGGAATAGCCCCGGAGCGAACAACTGACCTTCCAATTAGTAGACGGCCCACTCTACAGCCTAAGCCACATCACCCCAGTAGTGCTGTTAACTTGCTGTTCAGTGTCTCTAAGGTTTGCAAAATGATAATAATATGCAGTGCTAAAAACCAACTGTTAAGAAATCACAGTACAGTATAGCTGTATAGCAGTATATGTTAATAATAATAACAGCAATAATTACAGAATTCAAATGTTAAGGGACTTAAGATCAAGTAAAATCAGGTAAGGCTTTTCTTATACAAGTATATTTTGAAATGTGACTTAAAAGAACTGACTGAACCAACTGATTTCATAGCCTTGATTAAAAAAATGCTCTGGCCTCTTTAGTTTTCAGTCTAACCCCAGGAACAGACAAAAGACCTCTCCCCAAAGAACTTAAAGCACATACTGGTGCAGATGGTACTAAGAGGTCAGAGAGGAACCACTGCCTTTTTTATTGGTTTCTTCCAGCCTGGCCTCAGAGCAAACAATAGGAAGTATACTTCACGGCATCAACACTTCTTTCATTCAAAAGAGGGGACAGAGAGAGGACAAAGAGGGGGCATGTCACCATGGCAAACTGGAAAACAGAGCTCTGAATGAAAAGTCAATTAGTGTATTTGAACCCTAACCATGATTATGGCTTTATATACCTAACAAAGAATTTGCTATTGCCTAAACACAGCAAGAACGTAATCCTGCATTAAAAATCTAGGCAAAAATGAAACATGTTTGAACCAGCCACCGTGCACATGGTGATATGATCTATGGAAGTTTACCCAAAATATACTTTTAAAATTTCCACGATTGAATTATCAGATAAAAAGATACAACATCCAGTGTACCAATCCTTGTTTCTGTTACTCTATGTCAATGAGACTAAATGAACGCACTTTCAGTATTAACACTATCATATATTCCATGACATTAAGGTTAAACTTCAGTTACAGAAAAAAAAACAACTAAAGTTTGGGTTCAGGTGGTGACACTTCTAGTGGATGTTAAAAACAACAGCTAATCGTGAGAATTCAACTGGGAGGAGCAACTGATTTTGCATGGAATCACCCCACTTTGCTGTTCACTGTATCCCAAATATCAGTGCTGCCAAAAGGAGCTGATTCTGTAGAGATACTGTAAAAACATAACTTCGTGCCTTGGGAAAGCCAGGTAAGAAATCTACAGTCTTCCTTTGATCCACAGTTTCAGGCAGCATCAATATCCTTTCCCCCCTAACCACCTCTGCTTTACAACAAGGACTTCCAGTACTATAAAGAAAAAACTTGTTCAGATATACAAACAACCAAGTACTACCAGCCAGTCTGGTGGGCTGTGGGAGCCACAGAGCAAGAACCACCGTTGTGAAGAAATCTAACAGCATTACATTACAACTTACCTCGTACAAACACAGTAATGGGTCGATACTGGAGATGAGATGACCAAAAAGACTTGAGGGATTTCATGATGGGCAGATTTCACAGCATGGGTCGGTTGCCTTGAAAACAGCAAAACTAAAGAGGAGAAAAGACCCACCCCTGTGTCACCATGGCACACACACCACAACAAACCGCCATCAGTAAACAGGGTTCTGGGGGTTTTAGAAAACGGTTAAACAGCTCACTTCACGGTTCGTCGCTGTTAGAGTAACGTTGAGAGTAAACCGTTAGTAAATGTAAGCTAGTTCTACAGTAGTCACTGCCAGTTTTAGAACTTAGTTATCGTTACTATCACTAACTCCTTATTCTCTAGTTAAAGCAAACCTAAAAAACCCACACTCCGACCACTTTCAGCTACATTATGTTGACAGGTTAATTCCGACGCAGTTACACTGCTACACTCATTTCTCCAATAAAAAGAAAAGCTGAATTTTCTGATAATTATAGGGCTAATTATCAACCTTGGACGTTGGAGGAGCGTGGCACTGATTTAGCTGGAAGAACAGTTACTCGAGGCGAACTACATGGGGAAATATTAGCCCTGAGCTTATACTTCAGGCATTTTATTCTCTTCTAACCACGTCGTGCATAACTTGGCCATTTTTAAAAGGTGATATTGACGACAATGATAACGCTTTCCACCCTAGCCTAAACTCAGTGGTTGAACAAAAGCGTTTGTTGCGACCAGTGAAAACCTGACAGGCAATAGTGAGGAGCATAATTTTAACATACGCACCCAAAGCTTCAAAGCTTCAACTCAACATCTGAGTAGTGATTGGTTATGATGGTGCTCAGGGGCGGGACTTCTCTTAAATCAACATACAAGGGAGGGTGAGACCACAAGAGGGCACCGTTGCACATGGTTTAATTTTTTTCCTCCCATATTTAAAGGCAAGAAAATTGATCTTATTGATACTCCGCACAGGTTTGCACAAACTTAAAGACACAATTAAACAAAATAACACAAAAGACATGAAATTCCTTATTTGTTTTATTTGTTAATGAACTACTGTGTGCTCTAGGGAGATATCAATTTTGTTGTATTCATTTAATAACAATAAAGGTGTTCAATTCAGTTTTTAAAAAGGTAAAAGGGAATTTTTAAAACAATGTAAAGGGGAGTAGCGTGTACAGTGCCGTGCAAAACTCTTGAGCCATCACTAATTTCTTTATAGTTTCCATTGCTTCCAATATGTGAGGATTCTTTAAAAGAGTGACCATGATCTTGAGCAATAGTTCTCCAGACTTTCTGAAGGTATTTCTAAATTTTCATTTGGACATTGGCTGTTTTGTTTTGTTTTTTCAGTCCAGTCTTTATACCTGACACATTTCAGAGGAATCTATTTTGGTTGTTAAGCCACTTAACACTGATCTACAAATCATTCAAGCATAATGAAGACACCTACCTCAAATGACACAAATATTAACAGACAACAAAGAATCAGTTTTAAAGTGTTTCTTCAGGCACCTTCTGTGATGTATGGTTTGGAGATGGTGGCACTGACAAAAAGACAGGAGGCAGAGCTGGAGGTGGCAGAGCTGAAGATGTTAATATTTCACTGGCAGTGACCAGAATGGATAAGATTAGAAATGAGTACATCGGAGAGACAGCTCAGGTTGAGTGATTTACAGACAGTTAGAGAGGCAAGGCAGAATTTTTTTATTTGGACATGTGCACCCTTTGTTCAGTGGATACAGTGAACAAAGGATGTTGAGCATGAAGCTATCAGAAAGGAGGAAAAGAGGAAGACCATAGTAACAAAAAAAGTCAGAATGAAAGAAAGGAAATGTAAAAAAAAAAGAAAGAAACAAAGACACAAAAAACAAAAACATGGTCGTAGGGAAAGAGGATATGAGGTGTGACAGAATGGGACTAGGGAAGATGGAGGCAGATGATCTGCTGTGGCGACCAGTAAAGCAAGCACCCAAAAGAAAAAGGGGAATGCACCTTTTTTTTTTTACTGTCAGATTGTTACAAAAACACATCTTTTTTCCCATTTCTTGAGCTCAATTCATGAAAACTGCCAAAGATGACACAGTGTGGAATGCATTAAATAGTACTTTTTCAGCTACTAGCTGTAAACTTGGCATATCCATACCTGGCCAGGGTGTACCCTGCACCAGTCCTATGGGAGCTACCCCTGCAACCCTGATAAGGATGAGCAGCAGAGAATAGATGGATCTGACAGAATCTGTGAGATGCATCTAGCCCTTCAGTTGATCCATCTACTGTTAGCTGAAGGCTCATTAGAAACGGCCTCAGTGGGTGGATGGCTGTAAAGCCAGAGGTATGCTAAATTACACAAGAACTAGACTGGAAATTGGTGACAACAGATATGATGGAATAATGAATAGAATAGAATAGAATAGAATTCAACTTTATTGTCATTGCACATGCACAGGTACAGGGCAACGAAATGCAGTTTGCATCCATCCAGAAGTGCTTTAGTGATATAGATATATTACAATATATATTAGCAATAATATAGATATGTGAGTATATTACAGAAATGGGTCTATTATGGTATGTTATAATGTACACGGTATGAAGTATGTTGTGAATATTCTATAACTATAAGTATGTACAGGCTGTAGTGAGTACAAGCTATGTACAGGATATGAACAGGATATAAATATGAAAAACTATACAGAATATGAAATAAATAACTTTACAGAATCTGGGATATACAGCTATACAGAAATGGGAACTATGCAAGTTGTAAACAGTTGTAGGATTAAAGATTATCGAATGTACAGAATGATTATTTACACAGAGCTATACAGTAGTGCAGTTAAGATAAGTGAGATATAATTCCTACAGAGGCTATATAAAGTGCTAGTGGTTGTGAGTGGTGGTTCAGTCCATGTTATTATTGTGTTTGAGGGTACAGTTGTCCATTGTGGGTGTGTGTATGTTCAGTCCATGAGTTTAACGTGGGTCAGATGTCAGGAGGCAGAGTTCAGGAGTCTGACAGCTGTGGGGAAGAAGCTGTTCCGGTACCTGGTGGTCTTAGTCCGGAGGCTCCTGTGGCGCCTCCCAGAGGGCAGGAGGGTGAAGAGTCCATGTGATGGGTGACTGGGGTCTTTGATGATTTTCCCAGCCCTTTTCAGACACCAAATGTAAAAATCAAAATGTAAAAATTGTTGCTCAAATGATCATCTGTATATACAAAGGATTTCAGGAAATAGGCAAACAGTACAGCCATCTCTAAAACATGGTGGAAGCTCTGTTATGGTTTGGGTCTGTGTTTTTAGCCTGTGTTTTTTTATCTTTTCAAAACTGAACTGACTGAATTACGAATGCAGAAAAGTACCATCAGATTTTGATCCACCATGCAATACCATCTGAAAAGCATCTGATTGGAAACAGTTTGTTTTTTTTAGCATGACAGTGACCTTAAACACACTTCAAATGCATATCTGGATAGAGAAACACAAAATAGAACATTATCAGGTATGCACTGGCGTTCCTGAAACACAGACCTCAATCTTATTGAAGCAATGTGTGATCATTTTGACAGAGAGCTGAGGAAAAGGAAGCCAACATCCAAAGAAGAGCTTTGAATGTCCTTCAAAAAGCCTGGAGAGCTATTCTCGAAGACTACCTAAAGAAATGGCAAGAAACCTTGCTCATAAGAATTCAGGCTGTGTTGAAGATTAATGGCAGTAATATCAAATATTGCATTCCAAGTCAACTGGAACTATGCAACATATATTTGGTTGTAACATGTTTCAATAAATCCCTTCACCTATTTAAATAAATATGGCAAAATGAAGGGTGGCACAAGACTTCTACTGTACTATATATATGTGCAGTAGAAGTTAATATTTTTCATCTGCCTTACCTAGTCTGTATTTGTAAACTAATTCACATATTTCGGTGCTAATGAGTAGTTGGAAACATCTTGAGAATGCAAATAAAAAACAAAACAAAAAAACTTCTGTGGTATGAGTCTTATTCTGAACCCTTGGAGAGACTCAGTGCAGTAAAAAAAAAAAACAGCGCAAAGGTGTCATTTTAAGGTGTCTGCATATATAAGACAAAAGAGTGTACTGTATATCAGAACATGCATAAAAATTCTCCCCATGGTGTTTGTATGTATAAGAGTGACTTCTCTGTAGGATCTGAGGGACTAAACCGAGAGAAACAGAAAGACATTTGTCCATTAAACTGACATTGACCAGCCATCTCATATCTTCTGACATTATCTGTTGAATACAAACCTTTTATTTTTAAAAGGAAAGCCATAATCCCCTTTGGTAAGGAGCAGCAACAAAAGACAAACTGTGGTAGATTGCTTTCTGGCTTTAATAGAGGGTGCACAATGGCAGAGCTTTATGTGGTCCCTGGCACAGAATTGCCAGGAGAGATTACCTGTATGTTTCCTGTTTCCAGGAAAATACATTTAAGAGGGGTTTTTTTTTTCAGATAACAAAAAAGTTAAATATACCAAACAAAACCAAGTCACTACCTTATAATCGTCTTTTGAGATCTGACGGCAGACACACAAGCTGGTGACATGAGGACTTTCAATCATAATCTTTCTTAGAAGCAGGCATGTTGTAGCTGAATATCTGTCATCTTCCAGGAATTTGTATTACCATTACTGTTTCACAATGCTCAAGGGGATGTGTTCTGATTACAGTTCATCATTGAAATATGCAGATGTTACAATGACAAATGAAATAGCAGGAAATATCTCAATAACCCTGGGAAGTATGAGTGCATGGCATTTTTTATTTTTAGTATAAAAAATTGGTCACTTTATTTAACTGACATTTTTGCCCCTACAAGAAAAAAGAAAAACAAAACTATGATGTAACATCATTTACCAGATTTATATTATCAGTAGCTTAAACAGAGCTATCGAGGCTCTCATGAGTCTCAGCTGGAGACAGAATTGGATTTGCGGCTTGCTGAGGATGGGCTCTGCTATTTGTGCAGCACTTGCTCGAACAGGATACTCATGCTTTCACACAACACTAAAAAGGTGAGCAGTTTACAAATACAATTTAATAGAGGATGTTCCAATAGCAAAATAAAAGCCGTGGTTTTTTTAACTGAAGAAGGGGTTCACCTGCTTCCAGTGCGACTTCAGCAAAGCCAATAAATGCTTTGGTCCAACAATAAAGTTGTTTTACTTGCTGCAAGTGCTGCTGGCTTTGTGACCTCTTTATGATTTTTCAAATTAATATTCAAACAAATGTATTGTTGAACTTGAGAGAGGCTTGTGTATTACAGATAACTGCATTTTCTTGCTGCTTTTATATCTTTGCTTTGAAAAGGAAGACCATCAAAAACAGTAATACTACTGTTACAAAAACAGTAACAGTAGTAAATCGGAGGATTGTGTGCATATTATCAGAAATGCAAATTTGGCTCTTAACTTGAGGGTCAAGGGAACGGTGCTAAACGGAGTTAATGTGAAAAACAATTTTGTGACGCCACAAAAACATAATTTTAAGGCTAGTTTATATTG